CAGTCGTTTTAAAATCCTACACCCAACTAGCGAACTTCACAAATGGGAGAGCCCTCCGTAAGAGTGATTGACAACAAAGTTCTCAAATTCCTCATTGAAAAAGCAAAGGTGCAAGGCGAAATGGTCAATGAAAAATACCGAAACACTGAAGGGAAGGAGGAAGAAATCATCATTTGGAAATATCCAGATGGCAAAGTCCCTGAATTGGATGAATTTCACGAGAAACATGCAGTAGTGTTCAACTTTGCCCGCATTGGAGCAGACCTAACGTCGGCAGAGAAGAGGAAATGGATCTACCACGATAAAAAAAGAGGAAAAGTTGAAGACAGTGAAAGAATCCTTTTCCATGTAGGCACTAGGCTGGAACTCAATCATGGTGATCTTCAACTTTGAAGACCACGCAAAAATCGCGGTGGAAATGAAATCCAGAAATTTCAACAGCTCAATCTGCACCATAACGGAATGGAAGAAACAAACGAACGTTAGACCGAATCCGGCATTTTCAGTGTCATACAAACAGACTCTGTTGAAAGAGAATTTATGGGTTCAATTTGACAATCTTCACCCAGGATTCCATGGACTCCTAGTGGACAGACTTGAGAGACAGTATCTGGACAATAAATTTTTCAAATGGATCCTTCTGATGCCTGACTTTCTGACCCCACATTGCGGTACAATGACATCGGTCCTGGAAGTGAAAACCGATGATCCGCCGATTTTCCCTCTTGAATGGAAATGTCAAATCCAGGACAGGACCCAGTTGATCACCATCTCGACCAAAGCTGCACTTATATGCCTCAGATGCAGGGAGAGAGGTCACACGGGTTCAAACCCAACTTGTCAGAAGTTTCCTAAACAGCAAAGGGAGAAGAAGCTTCACCCCAACATGTTGATGGAAGTGGAAGACGCCCTGGGCACGTGGTTCATAGCAGACCCAACCTACGATGGATGGGTCTTTGATGACAATTCGGAGGACCCAGAATGGGTGTGGCATTACGCGGACAAAGAGTCAGCGACCAAAAAGCCTGACATCTTCCCACCTGCTGACAGCAAATGTCAGAAGAAAACGACAGGCAAAGAGATCGACAATCCGATGAAGATTAACTCAAACCCTCTCAATGACTCCTGGGTAATTAGGGAGGAAGAAGAAAGGGAGGACCTGCTCTGGGACCTGGATTCGGTACGTGAACAGGTTGAAAATGAGTACACAAAAGAACCTCCTAAAATTCAAGCCAAGATCCAAGCCTTCATTAGTCTAAAAAAACAGGAAATGACACAAAAGTCTGACCCAGGTGACGAAGGGGGATTAGGGAGGAGGCTGAATAACGGGACAGTGTGAAAGACAAATGAAGTGACGAAGGGAGATTCAAGGAAGCTTGATGGAAGGGGGGAGGGTGATGTGACGTCAGAGCCGGAGAGGGATCGGCGAGACCGTAGGACAGTCAGGAATAGTTGCTGGCGGGAGCGGGGGAATGGGCGATCTCGGGGGTACCCTGGACCAGGATTAGGCTTGGGAGGGTACAGGGGGTAATGGCAATGATCTGGGAGTCGACGTAGTGGAACTTTTGTTGAAACCATTTCCACAAGACGTAGGCTTGGGAGGGTACAGGGGGTAATGGCAATGATCCGGGAGTCGACGTAGGCTTGGGAGGGTACAGGGGGTAATGGCAATGATCCGGGAGCCTAGCATTGCCAGCCTCCCCAGTTCCCGTTGTTTCCGTTGAAACCATTTCCACCCCCAAGACGCGGTCCCGACGAAAACATCCGAAAGAGAGGCCTTGTGTGTTGCCTCTGCGAACTCTTAACCCCAGACAGCCCGTAGGCTCTTCCTACCAACGATTCCGTATCGGAGTCCTCATCCTACTCTGAAAAATAAAAGAAAAATAAAATAAAGGCTCGCTGTATGCCACCCAAATTGACCCAATGCTGCAAACTAGGGATGTCGACAGCCTCACGAGACGCGGTCCCGACGAAAACGTCCGAAAAGCTGCAAACAAATAAATAAATAAAAGCAGAAATAAATAGAATAAAATAAAACAAATGAACCCCAAAATGTACCGGGTATGTCTAGTGAGCCCGGTGCGTTGTCACTCGTCCACAATGGGATACGGTTACCGCCTGAGCCAAAATCTGAGCCACGGGGTGATATCTGACGCCGCGGTGTAACTGTCCCCTACTGTCGGTGACGGGTCCGGAGTCCGAGTGGTACGAGTACAACGTTGTCACTCGTTCACAATGGGATACGGTTACCGCCTGAGCCAAAATCTGAGCCGCGGGTTGATATCTGATGCCGCGGTGTAACTGTCCCCTACTGTCGGTGACGGGTCCGAAGTCCGAGTAGTACGACTACAACCTCCCGTTTTTTTGCCCAAAGTGACTGTAGTGTACCCCATAATGTCACCAGGGCCGATTCCCCTTGGCCAGCTTGGCCCAGGACCCGAGAGAGAGAGACAGAGAGAGAGAGAGAGAGAGAGAGAGAGAGAGAGAGAGAGAGAGAGAGAGAGAGAGAGAGAGAGAGAGAGAGAGAGAGAGAGAGA